TTAAGTCTTTCTTTTTATTTTTATGTACTTAGACATGCTTTCTTAATATATATTTTTTTATGTTTGTATTATAATTTATCAAATAAGTATGATTGAAAAAAATCTCTTTAATTCTTAACAATGTTTTGTCCGTATGTAATTACTATTTCTAATAGTTAGTTTTCCATATATAATATAGTTTGATTATAATATTTGTTAGATTTCAAGAAATAATTATTATTTACTATTGTTATTACTATTGAAAAGATAATATATAAATATATTAAATATGGTTTATATTTCGTTCTTTCTTTTGACATAATTATTTTTAATTCGTATATGCTTTTTTTTTATTCAGTTGGTTACATATATGAAGAGTTTGACATATGGATAAAAACATGATGACGGATCTCTTTGCAAAGGAAGATGGTACAAGGAAAAAAAATGAAGCATAATTAGAAATTATTTTTTCACTTTGAAATTTATTAGCAACTTAGTTACTTTCGCTAGAGTTTTTAAAATTTTAATTTATGTAAATAATTTAGCTAAATGTATTATATTGTCAATGCTAATCATTTGATCATTTACTATTCTATTTTCTCTTTGTTATGAAAAAAATAAATATAATTATTTAATTTTAATAACAACAAAATTTATGATGATTAGTTTCACTTTTATTATAAATTATAAAAAGTAATTGAAAAATATATTATTATTTTCATGATGTCATTTTTTGCGTATGTAATTTGTCGTCGTTCTTTTTGTTTTGAAATGCATTTATAATTTTTATGTAATCACCAATTATTATATTTTCTCTGTTCATTTTTTGTATTTCACACCTTTTTTTTATTTTTTTATTTTACAAATAAAATCAATACATAATTAGTAATACATTTAGTGGCTAATAAAATTATACATTTAAATTATTTATAACTCGTGTCTCTTCATCTTACTTGTAAAGTTTAATACTAAATATGAATCATGACTTTATATGCTTCATTTTTGGTAAATCTTATAAGTATTTTAATTAATGTTTAAAAAATTATAATAAGCAAATGTAATAATAAAATAAAAGAAAATAATATTATTTTCACAAAATCAGAGTTTGGATAGAACATCACTACTCCTAGAAAAGATAGAGAAAATTAAAATATCTAAAATATTTTCAACCTAATACAATATATTGTTATTTCAACATATTATCCCTTATTTCATTTACTTCATCACGGTGAATATTTTGTTCTAATATATACATATACAAAACAAACAAATCTATATTATATGTTTTACAAAAGTTTATGATATCACAGACGAGAAAAAATATAAATATTATCTATATATTCGATACTAACATAAATATTATATATTTCATATTATTATCTTATAAATATTTCAAATAATCGCGCGAAGCGCGAATAGTTTCACTAGTTAAAAAGTAACCCCGAATAACATTTAGTTTTAAAGGCCAATAGAAAGAAATATCCTCTTTTGCCCAAATTCTCTTAATTTTTACTCCATTCTCAAGTTTTTGGAAGTCACGATGGATTTGAGCTCTGAAGCTTCCGTTGATTTGAAGCTTCCTTCAGTGGCTACTAAGGATTTGAGCTGAAGCACGCATCAATTTTTCCAAGGATTTGAGCTGAAGCACGCATCAATTTTTCCTTCTGCTTGAACTGAAGTGCACTAAGAGGTAATATCTCTTTCTCGATCTCTCATTGTACTTGTTAATCCTCATTTTCTCTGTAATTTTGTTTTATTGAATGCTTACATGCGTATGTTTTCTTCTGATTTGGTTATAATTTTGTTTAAATTCGTTTACAAGTTAAACTTGGGTTTGATTAATTTGTGATTGATTCGAAAAGCTTCAACTGTAACTCATTTAGTAGGATTTTGATGTTAAACCTAAATTAACCCAATGAAGGTGTTACGTACAGCTAGAAATTCTGCTTCTTGTAATAAACTAAAATCATCAAATTTACTGTAACACTGGATGACGAGGAAAACTGACCATTTTTTATACCAAAAGGTATCTTGTGGGATTAGTAGAGGGTTTTCACTTTCCTCCAAGCATGGATGTACTTAAGCCTCTTATCAAGCATCAACTTTTGCTGTCTATAAACAGACTGGAATATTTGGAAAAATTCCTCTGTGAAAAGATCCCCTGCAGCTCTGAAATTCTTCAGTTCCTCATAAAGTCTTAATGTATCTATTCCATTCAATCCCACTTTTCTCTTCAAATTGTTGAAGTGCTACAATTGACAACCCCGAGCTCGTTTTAGGCCTTTCTCTAAAGCAGCAAGGAAATCCAAACTTATTTCTAAATTCTGCTGCATATACGTTTCTTATATCATTGTGGTTGGAGATTGAACACACACGCTCTCTCTCATTTGTGTTATAGGAGAACTTGGTTGTAAGAAAACAGTAGGTATGCAACGATTAGTGTCAGGACACTCTGAAACCTGCATGTTGCTTGTTCCTTAAGGTGAATCCTGTGTAACTAAGTAATACTTCTCTGAATGCACTCTTTTGTGAAAAATCTGGTAAAGTGCTACTGGTAAGTTATAATTTGTTTGTTATATAAGTTAGTTTGACGTAAGATGTAATACGTAAAGCTGTTGAATGTCTTTTGGTAAGTAGTTTCCAATGTAGTCTCTATTGGTAAGCTTAGACATGGCTAAGACGAGCTTAAACACTATATCAAGAACTACTATGTTGATTATTTGATCTTTATGCTAATTTTTTTTTGTAATTGCAGAAAAATAAGGAATATCTTGAACAATTATGGAGAATTCTAGAAATAGAAGATGGATGGATTACAGTAGAGTCAGTAAAGAGTATTTAGATGGAGTAGAAAATTTCCTAAACCATGTATTTCATGAAAACGATAATGGAGGAACAATTTCATGCCCTTGTACAAAATGTGTGCTATACTATCAAGTAAATCGGGCATCATGCTGATACTCATGCCAATATTCTGCTCATACAAAATACAAATGTTGATTTTCTGCTTATACATGGAGCATTACATGTTTGAGATACTATATTTGGACAAGATGGTAAGGCCTTCCTTGTTGTTCTTGCATAATTGATTTATTGGACATTGTTGTTCTAACAAAGTTGGACAAGTTGGCATAGACTTCCTTCATATCTGGGCGTTCATTTGGATCCTCAGTCTAGCATTTTACTGCTAAGTCTGTGATGTTATTAGCAAGCTCATCATTATCTTCTCTATTTCGTCAAATTTTAGTCACCTGGTCTTAGTGAGTAAGATATGTAATTGTCATTTCAATTTATAGTCATCTAACCATCTGTCGCTATATGTGTACAGTGTTATACTCGTTCAAATGGTGACTTGTTCAAGGAATGACAGGCTGATCCAGGGAGCTGCACATTTTGCATTAAGGAAAAAAACAGTGGCTTTATTGCTTTATTTTCTCCATTATTGAACATAATTTTTCTATTTTGATAATTCATAGTTTCTTTTACCGCTAACGAGATTAGAAAGTGAATGTGATAAAGATTGTTTGATCTTATTTTATGTGAATGACATTGTTTTGAGTTTGGTAATTCTTTTTTATTACCTTCTAACTTATTTCTCTTGTAAATTTCATTTGTGATGTTATAAAAGAGGGTTAAATATGTCAATTATAGTGAATTTATGATCAATTTTAAGGCGTAACGATAATTTAGTGACAATTATTATCTTTACCGGCAAAAGCAAAAGCCACAAATATGTTTGTTTCTAAGGTGACTTTAATGACAATAGTAAAGGCCGCTAGATAAATGTCGCCAAAAGTAATTACTTTTAGTGGCAATAATAAAAGTCTTTACCGGCACTCGACATAAATGTCATTAAAGGCTTTAGCGTCATTGGATCCAATGACATTCAATCAAATGCCGATAAATGTATTTGTCACATTAAATATTGCCGCTAAAAGAAAAATTAAATGCCACCAAGTCTTTTTTGGTGTAGTGACATTCCTTTTATTTTGATTTAGTTATCGTTTGCTTATATTTATAATTAATATGTACTAATTTCTTTTTTTCTTTCAAAATATACAAAAAATGATACTCCCGCTGTCCCATTTTATGTGATTCTTTTCGTTTTTTGAGAGTCTAATAATTTAATTTTGATCGGACATTTGCGTATAGAATCTTCAAATTTTTTGAAATGAAATGTATATATTGGTAAACTACATAAAAAGTACTCTAAGTCAGAATAATTGATGATTCAAAATGTTAAAAGGATCTATGAAAAACTTATAGTCAAAGATAGACTTATTTGAATCTCGAAATGCGGAACGTGTCACACAAAATGAGAAGAAGAGAGTATTATTTATGTTAAACTAGTTTAAGAGAAATTTGTATCACACGTTCATGATTCTTTTTAATTTAAATAGTAATGTAGTATTTTAACCGTTGCAATTAATGGTATACATTGAAGAAGAAAAAAGAAGTGAAGTTACTCTTATTATACATTACCAAAGTTATTGAACATGCATTTTATTGTTGACAAGGAAAATCTTTATTTTTTTCATACATGAAATACGGATGTTATAGTGAAACAAAATAGTTTATAAGAATTACAAAGATTACATAAAAAGTATTTTTTTAAAAGAAATTGTAAATTTGTGGAAACAAAATATTATTTTCTTAGTAAATTTGTCAAATGAGGTGAATTTTTTTTCAACGCCATTTGATTTATAATTTACATGAGATATTCTAAAACCACATGCTGAGCAGTCAAGTTCACTAGTTATTGCAAAATACTACGAATTCAATAACCAAAGAACGTTAAATGATGTTCAAACATGATTATAGGTCTGAGCAAATTAAACCTCTTAAGTGAAAAAAAAAATAAAAAAAATTCAAATTAAGTGCAAATGAGGCCTAATGGTTAAAATATTAATGAAATCTTGTATATTTTTATATGGGTTAACAAAGACATTCCAAGTCACCTTTAATATCCCTTGTTTTGAGCAAATTACATCCACACAAGTCAACAATGTAGGGATTCAATGTTTGGACAACCCTAATTTCTACTAATATTTCAACTTGCTCTCTAAATTAGTACAAAGCAGCATGAAACCAAAAAATAACAAGTAAACATATATGCTGGAGGTGAAAAGGAAAGTTTTAAACAGTTGTTAGTACAACGTTTAGGAAATAGTAGCAAATATAAGGAGAGGGCACCAAAATACACAAGATGGATAGAAAGCTTAAGTGCTTGCAAAATGGGTGACTTGACTATCTTTCAGGAAACGGGAGTTGTGGCTCGGAAAATTGTCACATCCAGTAGCATTGGCTCAATGCCGTCATTCAGCTCAAAGACACAAGTATCATGCTCTTTTAAATTGTTGTCGATCACAAAGTCCCTCCAACCTGATGATTCCATCTTTGGACAATTTGATTGAATATCAAACAACTTTGCACGCCAACTTCTCCCATTAGAAACTCGTAGATTTACAATGGTTTCCTCTTCATTCACACGTTTCTTGAAAAAGTCAGCAGGTATTTCCTGCAAATTGTTACTCTTTTATTGATTTCTATCCTTTAACAGAAAAGAAACAAAAAGAAAAGGTGCACTTGACCCCTCAGGACATCTACCAAAAGACGGTGAATGCAACATCTCTTGACTTGATAACTTACCAATTGGAAGTTTCTGGAGACATAAGCAGGCAGCATAGAAACAGTGAAGTGTGGATTGAAGTACATATCCCGATTCTGCGTCTCCGAGGGTAACATCTTTTTCTTGCCAAGTACTGTCATCTCAGAGGCTGTGGAATCTGAGAGAAACACAACAACAAACAATCTTTTATAATTCAACGACGTAAGATTCTCTTGTTACTAAACAAGTATTATCCATGAGAGATAACCGTAAAAAAATGGAATGTCATACATTTTCCTTTATAAGATGCAGCAACCAAATTCCCTTCCAAGTCTCCTGTGTCAAGCTTCACATTGTTGGTCTCCCTCCCTTTTACTTTTTCTGCTGCACAAAACAGATTATCTGGTTTTTCAAGCTTCACCCGGACTGGCTGACAACTTGGAGAGGATGCTGGAAGGCTGGGGTTTTGACTTCTACAATATGGAGAATCTGCTACCGGTGTTTTGTTATGCATGTTCCCTCCTGCTTCCCACTGTTCAAGCTTCACCTCTTTGTGTTGCTTACTTCGTAGTGGACACCTGCAATGTGATGCGTCCAAACTGGTAGTAGTTTTCTTTTCATTATGTTGATTAGTGGTAGTAGATGCTGAGGGATCCCCTACTTTGCTGCGCTCTGCCAAAAAATGACATGGGACGGGGCCGAGAAAAAGAAAGGAAAAAAACCCGTCACCCATCATAACATACTTGAACGTGATGAATCTAACAAAGAACAACTTAACTACCTTCCGCATCTCCTTTCTCAAGCTTCACATTATTAGCCTTCTTTCTTTTTGCTTTTTGTGCTACATAAAGCAAATCCTTTTCTGCGTTTGTTTTTCCAGGCTTCACCTCTTTCAGTTGCTTGTTTCGCAGTGGATACCTACAATGTGACGTATCAAAACTGGCACTAGTTTTCTTTTCATGATGTCGGACAGTGGTTGTCATCTTAGTTGCTGAGGGATCCGCCACTAAGTGTATTTTGTTACAGTGGTCTGCATAAAAGATGAAGCGGGAAACGGGAGGAAGAAGAAAAATGTCATCCATCATGACATAGTTCAACACAAAGAACAAGTCACTGAACCAAATACCTTCCACATCTCCTTTTACAACCTTCACCTCTTTCAGTTGCTTACTTCGTAGTGGATACCGACAATTTGATGCATCCAAACTGGCAGCAGTTCTCTTTTTAGAGTGCACCTTCGATGTTGAGGGATCCAGTGCTTCATTGCAATGCCCTGCCAAAAGGATGACGAATAAAAGAAGAATGGCATCCGTATGAAACTCCAAAGAGCAACCAAATACCTTCTTCCACATCTCCTTTTTCAATCTTTACATCTTTCCGTTGCTTACTTCGTAGTGGATATCGACAATCTACAGTTCTGTGCTGATTCGTGGTTGTCACCTTCGATGTTGACGGATCCACTACTTCATTGGAGTGCCCTGCCAAAAGGATGAAGCATAAAAGAAGGACATCCATCGTAACGTAATTATTCTAACAAAGGAATGTTGTTTTGGCACAAAAATTAAAACAGTAGTCATACCATTTCTTTTACTCTTTTTACGTTTTTGTGTTGCATAGGTCAAATCCTCCCCCACATCTGGTTTCTCTCTGTGCCTTTCTGCTAGACAATTAGGGCGGGATACTGGAGGTTCATGTTCATTTGGTCCAGAAAGATATTCAATCTCAGAAGCACTTAAATCAAATATGCAAACAGAGAAATGAGAGTTTCCATTATATTGAAAGAGTAAAAAGTAACCAATAGCAATGGAATAATATTCCTTAAATTGGTTCCATCCATTGTTGAGGTATTTGGTTCCATTTGAGTTTTGCAATAATTCAACTTTCCAGATGGCTCCAGTAGGGACCTCAAGGAACACAACATCACGCAGATCGGCTCCATACTTGATTACAAATTCATCGGGGATATTCTGTAGGATATGAACAAAAATAAATTGAATACAATACATAATTTGGGGGGGTTTAGAAATTAGATATTTCAAAAAAATAAGAAAAAATTGAATTGCATGGATGAACTTACTAATTTGGAGGCATGAGGAGATAAGATAATCTTGAAGAACTGAGGAGGCATTTCCGTTTTCTTCTTCTTCACTTTGTTTTTTGCTTTTACAAATGAAACTATTTCTTCTCTTCTCTCATAGAAAGAAGAGCTAATTTGGTTTTTCTTTACTACACTTACTTCCTCTTCTTCGTATCCCAAGTCCCAACTAAATCTTTTGCTTGATTCTATTTTATGCTTTCCTCTCTCCTAGCCACTTCTACACTGACATAAAAATAATTGTACTTCTAAATTTATCATTTTATCTTTTGTTTATTATAAAGTGCTAAAATTAATTTTTTTTTATTTTTTTATTTTTTTCAAAATAATTAATTGAGAATATTTGAATCAAAAAATAATAGCAACAACTAGAAAAGGAAAATAGATAAGTAATTAAGTTAAAGGGATCATATATTACTATTCTTTCTATTCATGTTTACTCTTCCTATAATTAGACAAATTCAAACTAAATCGATTAAATAAATTAATTTTATTTGAGGTGTTATTCTTCTCAGAATCACTAAAGGATCATTTGGTAGGTCATATTAGAAAAAATAGTGCATGTATTATGTATGATTTTGTGTGGTATTTTTTATGTTTTAATTTATGTAACTTACTTTCCTCTTCAGTGAGTCCCAAGAAGAATGTCATATTTCTATATTAAGTAACAATTTCACAATAAAATGTCCTTCTTACTCTTAATGAAATGATTCATAGTTACAAAAAATTTTATCATTCATTTAGGACCACAAATTTTAAAAGTTTTTCTTAAACTTTATGTCGAATGAAACTACTTCACATAAAATGGAACGGAGGGAGTACTATGTTTGATAGGAATTTGAGCCTATGTATAATTACTAATATTTGGATGAATTATACATCCGACATGGTATTATAGGATGTATTATTAATACCTTCCATTTGGAGGTATTAGTAATACATAGGATATAATACCATGAGATAAGTCTATGTAAAGAAAAAAATATCTCCCAAATCATTTTTTTTATTTTCTTAATTTTATGTTTTATATTTGTACTAGTAAATTTAAATAAATTAGCTTATAGATTATTTAGAGAGAGTTATTTGTTATTCGATAAACCCAACACAAATTTGAAATGTGGGTTATTTAACATTTACTAATTAAAGAGACAAATATATATATATATATATATATATATATTTGTGTGGTTGTCTAGTTTTTCATATTTTGAAAAATTTAAAAACTTAAATGCATATTAAAATTACAACTTACAATTTTGTGTGTAAATATAGATGGTTTATATAATTTTATCATTGTTGACCGTCATTTCAATTTTATTAGTAGATGACTTATATAATTTTATCATTGTTGACCGTCATTTCGATTTTATTAGTAGATGGTTTATCTTTTTGAATGGAAAATTGACATCTTGTAAGTTATTAAGACGAAAATTATTTATCATGAAATAATTCAAGTGAAAAATAGCAAACATGACAACAAAATTGTTCTTCTCATAGCTAGTCAAAAGACCATAAAAATAATATTGTCCAACAACCTTAACCTAATTATATAATAAAACAATGGTATAATTGGTAAGAAGATTTTTAATAGTTTTAATCCAAATACAAGATGAAGTGAGAATAATCAATCAAACACTTGATAAAAATATGCATGGCTAAAAATGGCAAAAGGAGACCTAAAACAGAGATTTCAAAAAATAGGTCGCTAAAAAGAAACATCATGAGGTCGCTATTTGCATCAATAATTTTTTTTAACAGGAGAGACCTCATGAGGTCGATTTATTAAAAACTGATATAAGTGACTTATTTTAATTTTTTTATTTTATAGTATGACTTTGTATAAAATATGCGACCTCACGAGGTCACTTTTTGTTAAACTAAAATATATTAGATTAGCTTATATACCTCGTGAGGTCTTATTTTATTAGTCAAATTTATTAAAAAATATTCCTTTTATCAGTGAAATTTGTTAAATAATATTTTATAACAGAGACCTCCTCGTAAGGTCTCTAATTTTTTATAAAATTAAAATAAGAGTTTTTTTTTTTTTTATAATTTAGCTCATCTCCTTTCCCGCTCTTCACGTAGAAGCTAAAAAGAAGCCCTTACTTGTCTCTTCCACAAAGCTTTACAGATGTGTAGATGAAGACTCCATGACACTAACTTTCCTCCTCATACGTTTTTTTTGAACCTTTGCCTGGTTGATTGAATATTGATAGTGACTTCATAGTATCACCACCATCGTCATGGTGATTGGATCTATTTTGAAAGCATGACACACTACTTTCAAAGTAATAAGAACCAAAATCAGTTATCTCCCTAGCAAGATGAAATTGAACAATTTAACCTTTAAGTCTATGTTTTTCTTCATACCCGTTTAGACTTTCCAATAGTCTGACATTATATTATATTATATAATTGATTTTAATAAAATATTGATATAAAATATTGAGAGTTAAACACTTACCTCTCAAATGGATACATCCATCTATATTGAACCGGACCTCCGTGACATGCTTTATGCACCATATGTACAGGAAGATACTCCACCACATCAAAAAATTCAGGTGGAAGAACCTTCTCCAACTTATTTGTAATTATAGGGATATTCTGATCCATCAGAACTAGGCTGTCTTCCCTTAACGTATTAGAACACAAGTCCTTGAAGAACAAACTAATTTCAGTCATAGGTTTTCAAACTCTTTCGGACAAGCCACCAAATGCAATGAGGAGTAATGTTTCCATGAAGACATGACAATCCTGATTTTTCATACAATGTAATTTTCCATGCTCCACATCGACACATTTTCCTGAATTTGAAGCAAGTCCATCATGCATCTTAAGTTGCTCAATCCATTCACATATTTTACATTTTTGATCCAATGTAAATGAATAACTAGATTAGTGATTGATAGTCTAAATAAAAAATGGGTTGACCGCCTCTACGACCTTGAAGAAATTATTGTTCTATTTCTCTTGCAACCATAACTAATTTTGCCTACAATATTTTGGTAAGTCCATTCTAGCTTTAACATCATCTTCTGTCTTGTCATTGACATCCATTACTGTGTTGAATAAATTATTAAAGTAATTTTATTTGATGTGCATGACATAAAGATTATGACGAAGAAGATTATCCTTCCAATATGATAACTCGTAGAATATTTTTTTTGACTAGTTATGTGCAACACCATATCCATCAAATTTGTAGGGTTGTTTATCTATAACCTTTGGAAAGTGTTGAACCCTCTCCCAAACTTGTTCTCCAGTCAAGATTGGAGGAGGACAACCTTGTTCAACAATATTCTTTCTGAATGCATTTTTCGTACTCCTAAATTCATGATCAATTGACAAGAACTGTTGATGACAATCAAATCAAGAATTTTTACGACTATGTTTCAAAGTGAATGATTTAGTATTTTTCATACAGTAAAAACATGCTAATTTTCCAACTGCCATCCACCCTGACGACATTTCATACGCAGAAAAATCATTAATAGTCCATATTAAGACAACCCGCACATTAATATTTTGGTTAAGAGACATATCAAATGTTTCAACCCCTTGAACCCACAATTGTTTCAAGTCAACAATCAAAGGTTGCAAGTATACATCAATTAATACTTTTGGATTCCATTGGCCAGGAATGACACAATTGAGAAATATATGTGGACTGGTCATACACGTCTCAGGTGGAAGATTATGTAGTGTTACAAATACATGCCAATAAGAATATAGTGCGGCAGAAACAGAATGTGACGTGAATCCATCTAAACATAAACCCAATCTAATGTTCTGTGGTTTGGCTACAATATTGTGGATATATTCTATGAAAATGCTTTCAGGCCTCTCCATCGAAAGAATGACACATAACACCAGGTGGTCTTCTATTTTCTGGGTACCATCTCATATGAGGAGCAGATCTATTAGATTCATACAACCTCTTTAACCTTAATATAAGAGGTAAGTACTGCATCGCCTTAATAGCAAATTGTTATTCTTACAATAACCTGTATTTATAAGGTAAATAAATAGAAACAGAAATAAGATGAAGCAGAAAAAATATAAAATACAAGAATTAATCCGAGTCCACAGAAACTACTATGTGTCCTTAAGAAATTTAATCCCCTCACTGTACCCAAGGTTATGTATTAATTTCTCTGAAGATAAAATGTATTAAAACTGTTAAAAAAATAGCGGTACCTCAAACTTCTTTAACTTCAACGAACTTAAGAACAACAACAAGTCACACAGACTCAGTCGATCGACACTTTGATTTTATTTGAGAGAAAAATAAATGTAGAGAAAGAAAAAAATTTCAGTATTTTAAAAATCGAAAATTGACATTCTCTTATAGCCATTTTCAGCAAGGAACATGTCTGTTCAGTGAAATCTGTTCAGACCCATTTTATCCAGAAAGTTGTGTCTTTCAGAAAAAAATAACAACTTTTCAGAAAATTGTGTCTGTTAGGAAAATAACGACTTTTTGGAAAGTAACAACTTTTTGGAAAGTAACGACTTTTCGAAAAGTAACGACTTTTCGGAATGTTACCGTTACCTGCAAATTTATAAGAGATAATTTTTAACAGGATTTATTTGCTTTAAAAAAATTGATTAAATAAATTTTGTCCAAATAATTTATCAATCAATCACATCATTTGCCAAATCCAAATCCAAATCCAAATCCAAAGCCGAGCCGAGCGAGCGACGACGATGACGGCGCGAGGGGGCATCTTCTTCTTAGCTCTTTAAGAAGTAATGGAAGTGTTTCCTTCTATAAGGACAACAATTTCCATTTCTTTTGCCGATATGGGAGAAATGACTTTTCATTTGCACTTTGCAAATGACTTTTCATTTTCCCTCCAAAGTAGTTCCTCACTTTTCATATTGTCTTTTCTTTTCCCATTCACACTTGCTAAAACCTAACAATCCCCACATGAATGGGGAAGGCTATTGTTAATATAATATGCATGAAAAAACTTGTGTGTCTTGTAGGTAAAAGTTAATCGCATCTGGATAAGTAGGTTTCCCTTTAAACTTTCCGTAGTGAACATATATCGGATATACTCGGTCAATCGGTAGATTTGATATCTTTGAACCGTCGAGCTTTGGTGTATACCTAGACAACATATGTCACACAATCAACCCTTGAACTGTTCTTAGTTCTCATTGTTTTGTTCGTTTCAGCCATGAACACATCTTGG